TTCCGCGGCAGCAGCGGGACAAGCACTTGGGCGTGGTTGAGACTGCTTTCAGCGGAGCCCGGGGTTTGGGCTCCCACCTGTTTACAGACCTTTTTTTCTCCTTCAGACTTTAAAATAAAAATTTTAAAAAGGAATTTAAAAAAAGAAAAAAGAAAAAAAAAAAAGACTTCGGTCGTAAAGAACCCTATTTTCAGAATGCAGACGCGCTACTTCAGAGCTCTGGGATTGGACAGTGCCGTCCCCCTTCGGCCGTCGTCGTGGACTCTGTCGACTGTCCTCGCCCCTTCGTCGAGGTGACGAGGCGCTGTGGTCACTGTCTTGCACATGCCGGACGCGCTCTCAGGAAAGCCAGGGCTCCCGAGGGCAGCTCCACACCATTTCATGTATTTTTAAACCCAACTCCTAGCACTGAAGATGTTATTAAAAAAAAAGGATAAAAATTTAAAAAAAGAAAGAAAAAAAGAAAAAAGAAAAAAAACCACAAAGATGAAAAATACCTAATCTCTAATGTGTAGCAGTTACATATTTACCAAATAATGGACTCAAAAGAAATAGATGTTTGAAGAGTGCTTTATATATTAAAAATTGCTTTATGTTTTAAAAATGATCAATGTTTTGATTGTTTTGCAAGGAAGAAAGACAATGGAATAACATACCCTCCAGTATGTTTTTAAAAAGTCTATGGACATTGTGCTCCCTGCCTGCTCGATCAGGAAACCTGTGCATTACATTTTTTTTAATTAGCTTTTTAATGGTTTTATCAAAACAAAAAAACAAAATTAAAAAAAATAGAAAAAAAAAAAAGTCCTGCAAGATTGCAGATCAACAAAAGCTGGTTTTACAGAGGATCATGAACTATGCACAACCTAGGTTCAGAACTTCCCTCAAGCTTAGTAGTGCATCTAGCTGACGACCCCTCCTCAGAGTGAGCATCGCGTTGCCAGTACATGCATCCTACATATTTGATATGCATATCAAATATACGTGCGCGTGTGTGTGTGCGTGTGCGTGCGTGAGCACTCAGTCATACAGCTCCCGTGCTGCCATTTAGCCCTGAGTCGTAGAGAAAACTCCCAATGTTTTAAATTTGGGGAATGGAAGAAAGAATCTGTTTATTTGGGGGTTTTGTTGAGGATTTATTTTTCCTTTTTTTTTTTTTTTTTTTGACCTTTTATTTTGAATTTAAGATGTCTGTAACTCTGAGATTAAAAAACAAGTTTGTGGCTCTTAATGTTTTTCCTCATAGAATGTGATTGTTGAAGAACATGCACCGAAAGTTGCTTTCAACAGTACAACGCTTTGTTGAATCTTAATAAATTGCAATTTTTTTCTTGGCTGTTCAAATTAATGTGTTTTTTGTTTTTCAAAAACAGATACTATCAACTTTGATTTTGTATGCTGAAACTAGGAGTTGTCCTGTGTAGGACAAATTCTCTTTCTTTTTGATATCTTCAAGGTTTATATACAGTTAAACTCTGAATTTTGGTTGTTTGACGTATTTTATCATTTGCTTTCTGGCTTTGCTATTAATGGTTAAATCTTAATAATTATTGGGAAACAACAGTTTTCAAGCTCTCCACTACCAGCGGCCGCCTGTCAGCCTGGTGCATCTGAGAAACAGTGCCGTCTGGAAGAACAGCAGGCTGATCCTGGGTCTGCTGGGGTGCACTGAGGACCAACCCTGTCACCAGGACCCAGTGTGGGCATCAGAAATTATCAGAGAAGGCCAGGCACGGTAGTGCACACCTGTAACGCCAGCCTCAGCAATTTAGCAAAGACCTGTGTCAAAATAAAAATGGCTGGGGATGTGGCTCAGGGGTAGGGCACCCCTGGGTGCAATCCCCAGCACCAAAAAATAACAATCACAGAAGCCAGGTGCAGTACTTTCACGCCCTTGGTCCCAGCTCCTCAGCAATGATGGCTTGAGCCCCAGAGTTCAAAGTTAGCCTGGGAAACATCAGAGAAGAGTACAACAAAGGTCTTCTGTGTTTCCTGGACGTTTTATTCATCTGTTTTTAAACACTGCCTTAGCTTAACTTCTACCAAGCTTTTGTACCAGTATGGTGGGACTTGCCATGCTGAGTAAAGCAGCAGCAGCCTTGCCACAGGATTCCAGGTGGCAGATTTGAAACCGTCTTCTCACTCCATCCTGGAACACTTGCAGCCTGAGCTTGATGTGTTGGTGCTTCTGTTTGATAAGTACCGAGAGTGTCTCTGGACAACACCCCAAGTGCCCGTCAAGACCCCTCAGGGACTGGAGGAATGACTCCCCTGGCTCTTGTGCATCAGTCCACCTCCTGTCAGCTGGCCCCCCGAGAGGGTGGCCAGCCACTGGCCCTGACCAGCCTCTTCTGAAAGTTGAGAAGTGCCTTAAGAGGGCCATACGCAGAGGAAGATGGAGTTCAGAAATGGGACCTACCAAGTGCACTTGGCATTCAACACTCCATCAATCAGGAGCTGCACCTTGGCACTATGTGCAGACATTCAGCAAGGGGTCGCTTTATGCCAGTGTGCTGAGGGTGGGTGCACCTGCTTTTTCTCCCCCGGGAGAAGTCCAGGGCCTTCAAGTTGCCCAGCGGGAGCAGCACGCTGCAGGCACCTGCCCCTGGCCTGCAGGGCCATCGGATTTTAAGAGTCTGAGGAGGGTGAGGGGCAGGTTCAGAGCAGAGTGGGGACCCTGTGTGAAGGCCTCAGGGCTGGACAGGGGTTCCTGGTATCCAGGGGGGAAGAGGCCTGAGTTCTGGAGTCAAGGAAACTTGGGTTTGGAGCTATTCCTGCACCAGCGTGGAAGGTTGGTGGAGAGGGGTGCTCAACAGAGGCGGCGTGTCAGAGAAAGCTGGAGAAGAGGTACAAAGGGAGCCCAGAACATGGACGGAAGACAAGGTCAGAGGTGCCCAGCAGCTGGCCTGTGTTTGGTGGGAAGAGGAAAAACGGGGGCAGCAGGCATTTCAAGAAAATTCCTTGCAGGAAGAGAACCTTTGGCTGAACTGAGAGAAACACCCAACGCAGGATCAAAAGGGAACATGCACTCAGTTTCCAGCTTTGCACATCAGCTCTTCTCCACTGGCTTCCTGCTGACAAGCCACCGTATGAGGAATGTCCCCTGATGGAGTGCAGCACAGCTGGCCTCAGGGCCCAGAGCAAGGGTAGAAGGACCTGGCGGTGCTTAAATGCCAGTGCTAGGCACGTGTAAACCAACTCAGGGTCCCTGGGGTGGCAACCCCAGGCTTAAAATCCCCATCATTCCCCTGTGCAGCCAAGATGGAGAAGCAGAGACGGTCACCTTGTCCTCAGTCTGCGTACTACGGCCGCTCCCCTGCACTGGCATCACAGTTTGCAGTCTCCAAGTCTTGACTTGATTTCATTTGGCAGATATAGTGAGCTTTTTTCCTTCTTTATTTTTCTTTGTTTTTAAGTAAATTTAAGTGCAGGGGCTGAGGAGTAGCTCCCTGGGTTTGAACTGCAGCACTACCCAAAAACTCAAGTGTGCCAGGCACAGTGCTAAGCACTTACAGGAGCTGTGTCATTTGCTACAGTGGTCCCAGGAGGTGAAGAACTGGAGTAAGAGAGGTCACAGAGCATGCCCAAGCCCATCCACCTAATCCAGAGGACCTTAAGGCCACATAGTGAGTCCAGAGAACAGAACCACTGGGAAGTAAAGAAGGAAGAGAAGTGACCCAAGCAGTCATGGAGCTACCAAACCTCAAGTGCACAGGTGGGCAGCAAGCTGAAGACAGATAGGAGTGGGCACAGAATTCCTTCCTCTCCGGGAAACCTGAGTTTGGCTCTATAAGGCCTTCAACTGATTGGATGAGATCCACCCACATTATCAAAGCTGTTAACCGCACCAGCAGCTTCCCTTACAGCAACCTCTGGATTCAAATCCAAAGAAGTCACTGGTGCTACAGACTGGCCTGACACAAGACTGGCAGGACACTAGGTAATTCTACAAACACCATGGTCAGCTTTTTGAGCATCTGTCAGAGTAGCTTGTCCTGGTCTCATGGAGTTGTGAGGCAGGTGAAATGGCCTCAGTAAATCCAGACTGACGGCAGTGCTCAGTCACACCAGCAGTGATCCATGTGTGCTCCCCATCCAACACAAGGGCTGTGATGGAGAGGTCAGCACCTCCTGGACGGGACCTGGGGACTCCAGGTCAGTTGCACACTTTCTGGACTCTCCACTCAGTTTCACCCAGCAGCACCATGTCCACAGATGGAGCCAGAATTGTTCCCTAAGGTCAGTACCTGCTACCTGCAGATGTCCCTCAACACTGCTCGACTTGGTTCAGCCATGACCGGTGAACCACAGGAGTGATGGCAGCTGCCTCTGGACTTCTGTCCCCGGAAGGGAAGGCTCCAGTGAGCAAGGGCCCAGGTGGGGGACAGCTGGTAGTCAGCATGAGCTTCACTCTGCCTGGCCTTTTCCGGATTCCGCTAAAAATCATGAGTGGCGGGGCCATTGCTGCCCCGATCCTGTGCGCATCTGTAGATCAGGACACTGGGGCTAGGAGTGGAAGGCTGTGCCCACTCCCTGTGTCCTCAAGTCTAAAGCATTCCACAGGCTCAGCCTGCCAGACCCACCCCTACCCCCAGCCAGCCATGATCAGGCCTGCCCCAGCCCGTGGGCATTCCACACATCAAGCCCCATCCACTGCAGGACCTGGTGCTGGTGGCTCCTCTCCCCAAGGCTCCTGTCCTCCCTCCACATCCTTCCCTAAATTTGCTTCCCCCACTGGTCAACTTATGGCCCTGGACACAGCCTGGACCTGCCCATCTACCCTGCAGACACAAGTCCTCTCCCAGATACAGGGTCAGGCTGGTCAGGGGCACTGCCTCCAAGAGTTTGGCCAGCAGAGGGCCCCCTCTGGCCCAGAAACTCCATGGCCCCTGGGCCAAGTTTCCACAACACCCTGCCACACAGACACCTTGAGCACTGCAGGAACCCTCTATACATACCTGGCCAGGCCCAGGTTCCAAGCACAGCCTCCCGAGACAAGCCCATTTTGCAAAACCCATTTAATGTAAATAAATAAGAGTCCCAGATGGGGCAGGGCCCCCTGGAGGCACGCAGGCCCCACCTGCCCACTCTGCGCTCCATCTTCAGCTCAGCTCAGCCTATGGAAGGGGGAAGCAGGGTCACTCCACCATCCTAGTGTCCCACGGGGTCTCAGATCCTCGTCTCTGCCTGCCAGGACGTAGTGACGGAGCGCAACTGGGGGTGCTGGGGGAGCCTGCAAGGCCCCTCACTGTCCCACCAGCTGTCCCCTCCGTCTGCAAGCAGGGCAGAGGGCGTCACGGCCTCCTCGTTTCTGTGAGCTCTGCCAGAAAGGAAAGTCAGTGAGGGCCCAACAGCATGGCCAAATGCCAAAATTCTTTCCAAGAGATAATCTTTAAGTCCCTGGCAGAACTGGAGGCCTCCCAAGGCTGAGGGAGGATGGAGGCAGGTGAGCAGCAGGCTGGAGTGGAGACAGCCACTAGATTCACCTTCCATGGATTTGCTTGGGAGAACTGAACTGTGTGAAATTTCCACTTTTGCTGGTCAAATGCTGTCACATGTCAACAATTTTGTGTGATGTAAGCAACAGGCAGCAGCCCTGTGCTGTCAGCATGCTTCCTGTGCAGGCTGCAGCAGTGGAGGGGCTCAGGGAACACGGTGCCTCTACCCGCAGTGGCGACTGGGTGATGCCAATCCCTCTACCTGGGGAAACCAAGGCCAAGAGTGCATGACCTCCAGGTCCCCAAGGATAGTTCAGGGGCCAGCATGTCTGTCCATTGAGTGACTGAGTAAGGGTTTTATTCTGACATGCTTCCAAACACAGACCTGCTGCTGGGGAGAAGTCCTGGTGGCCGTAGCTACAGACCTGCAGATGTGACTCTGGGGCCAGCTTCTCCATTTCCCAAGCAGATGGGCCATGGAGGAAGTGGGAGAGCCAGGCGTGTGTGGCTCTGCACTCATACACACTTGTGCATGTACGTACTGGTGTCTGTCCACCAGGCAGAGGGAGCTGCGAGGCCACCCTCCTGTGGCTATGTGCATGTGTAAGCTGAATAAGTGGGTCTGCGTCTCAGCCATCTCCCTTGCCCCCAGGTAACAATGAAGGCTGAAGCCAGCAGAAAGACTGCACAGTCGGGCTATCAGGCCTTGACAGGAAGGAACCATGTCTGTGCTTGGCCAGCCCAGCCTTGCTGCAGGGCAGCCACAGCAGAGGCTGACTCTGTGGGGAGGTGGCCCAGCTGGGCTGGCACTTCATGGCTCATGAAGAGAGAGAGAGAGCACTGGGGCAAGGGTGTGCAAGGCTTTGGCTCCTGCTTCCTCCTCCCAACCCACCTCGAGTCAGCAACCCAGAGAGATGCTGGCTATCCAGCCCCGGCCCCTCCCACTCGACTCACAGAGGCCTCTTCCCGCCCCCCCCAGCCCTTCACCTGCTCCTCTCCTTCCTCTCGTAGACAGAGTGAAGCCTGTTGATCAAGAAGATCTTGTCTTCCCCCTCCTAGGGAGGTCAGAACACAAGAGGTGAGAGCAGAAGGTGTCCATCCCTGGGTCCACCCAGAGCTGGCCTGTTCCAGACCAGGCGGCGGAGCTCACCAGGGGAGTCAACAGCTCCAGGAGCAATTTTGTTGGTAGCCAAGCAGATTGGTTCCTAGTGCCTGGTGACCTGGCTCTGCCCCAGAGCACCCTGCAATGTCTACGAAGAGGGGCCACAGGCTCCTTGTGGCACCTCGTCTTCCTCTAGCAAGTCATTGACAGAAAAGGAGAGGATGGAGCTGGGCGCCATGGCCATGCCTGTCGTCCCACTCGCTCCAGAGGCTGAGGCAGGAGGACAGGAGGAGGCAAGTTCCAGGCCAGCCTCAGCAACTTAGCAAGAAGTGTCATGAGAAAAAAAGGGGGGGAGGGGGGCTGGGGACGTGGCTGGGTGGTAGAACAGCCCCAGGTTCCAGTACCAGAAAAGGAAAGGCTGTTTCCTCTCCAGGCTGCCAGCGTGGACCCCAGGAGGGCCACAGGAGCAGCCATGCCTGCCCTGCAGCCCCTGAGGCGGACTAGGAGCAGGGGCTCAGCCTCGTGCACACTGTGCACCAGGGTCCCCCTGGACAAAGGCCTCTAATTCCAGAGAAATGGAGGACAGCTGGGACTCTCCTCCCAGTGCCACTGGGCCTCCCCACACAGTACCCCGACGCAGTGAAAGGTGGCATGGAAGGGCAGGAGCCATTTCACCAAAAGCCTGCTTCTGATGGTGTGGCCAGACGAGATCATCTCGGCCAGACACCTGGCTTTGAGCTCAGCCCCAGTGTGCGAGGCAGGAGCGGGGTCTATGTGGCTGTGCCATTTACCACCCAGGAGCCATCCCTGAGAGCTTCCCCCTAGCCTGACCGCTTCCACCCTTGCTCCTGACACCAACGGCAGACACCAGCCCCTGACCTCCATCAGGGTGAGTGCTAAAGAGAAGCCCCAGGCCCAGTCCTGGCCGGACATCTGGAAACTGGCACCCCACAAGCCAAGGTGGCCCAGTGCTCGTCGAATGGCACTGGATGAGGTCAGAGCTCAGGACGGTTCATTAAGGCCACCACTGGGAATCTGCAGGGGTCACAGTCTAGCACCCTGAAGGAGATGATCCCGCCACAGGCCAAGGCATTCCTGAGAAGAGGCCAGCAGGAGTGACCAGCCAGGAAAGTGTCTGTGTCTCCTTAATAAAGAAATGTCTTCCAGCCTCATTGCCCTTCTTTGTCCAATGAGAGCACTGACCAGGACCCGCCTTCCAGCATGTGTCCCTGGAGAAGACCAAAAGCCATTTCCAATAGTTCAGAAACCCTGCCCAACACTGCACCACAGCAGGGCCACACACTCAAACTGGAGTCCCCGTGGTGCCCCTGCATCCGGGAGCTCTGGCCAGAGCCCTGGTCCTGTCACCTCTACACCTGTTTAACCAAATCACGCCTATAAATCCATGGAAACTACCATCCAAGATGCTCAGGGGAGGGGTGCAGGGCCTGGGGGAGCTGGCCGGTGACCAGGCATCCCCCAGGTGTGGAAGGGAGGGAAACTCACATTGCGGATCTGCTCCTTAAGGAGGGAGATGACCTTCCGCTGGCCCTTCACCACCTGGATGTTGAAGTAGATGATGGCCCTGCAGGAGATAGTGGTCAGGCTGACAGCAAGTGGCAGGGAGGGCCAGGACAGGATAGTGCCCAGAGCAGGAGCCTGGGGGTGGGTACTCTCTGTGCCAGGGCCCCATGGCAGGCTGCAACCTGTGAGGAGGTCCCCGGAAGCCCTGCACTCACAGCAACAGGGCAGATGCCAAGAAGAGGAAGAAGGTGCTCTCCACCAGGTACCGGTGCAGCCAGGGCACCCAGGAGGCCCCGGGGCCCGCACTCTCCAGGTGGCGCACCCACACCCTGCCTGCCTCATACATGGTGTCCAGGGTCCGAAAGGGGCCGCAGGTGCTCGAGGGCTTCACCCTGAGGGAAGAGGTTAATGGGAACCCTCTGGGCAATGGGCCCTCCACCCACTTCCCCCCCAAGCCTCAGAGGAAGGCAACCTCCACATCACTCCAAATCCTAGGCGGGTCCTCCAGCCAAGCACCACCACCCCCAACCCAGGAATGCACAGAAAATGGCCAGGCCTCCTGCCCACCCCATCCCAAGCCTACTCACTGCCACACGGCGTAGCAGAGGAAGATGGCGGCACCCAGGAAGGAAGGGAAGCAGAGCAGTGTGAGGAAGACGGTGCTCATGTGCGAGGCCAGCCAGGGCCTGCGGGGAGCTTGGCAGTTGGCCATCAGGCTAGCCTGGGGAGAAAGACCACAGTTTGCCACAGCCACAGCACCTTGGAGGGCCCTTCCCAGACCCAGGGCCCCAAGGGAGGAAGGGCAGTGGCCTGGAGGGTGCCGTGCATTCCAGGACAGGACCTGGACCTCACTGTGCTCACTCTACAGGACTGTGGCAGCCATGGGCAGAAAGGCCAACACTGGGAATCTGAGCACAGGGCTGGAAAGAGCCAGCAGGGCTTCCCTCCTCGCCTGGAGGGGGCACTGAGGCACATAGGACACACTGCCCAAGGTCAAGCCAACAAAAGGGTTGAACCCAGGGCTGGGCAAAGCTCAGTTGGTAGAGAGCTTGCCTCGCATGCACAAGGCCCTGCGTTCAATCCCCAGCACCACAAAAAAAAAAAAAAAGGGTTGAGGCCAGCAGCCACCTCCACTGACTGAAGGTTGACACTGTGCCCAGCTCTACGTCTGACCTTTCCCAGCCCTGCAAGGGCACTGGTCCCACCATGCAGGTGAGCAGATGGAGGATCAAGGAGAGCTCAGAACCAGTGTGGGCAAAGTCGCTGGCTCTCAGCCCTGAGCATGCCTGCTGAGAACAGTACCCAGCACCCAGCACAGCACAGGCCCCAATGAGACCTCTGAACCCAGTGCCTGGCTTGCCCAAGGCAGGGACAGCAGGGACATGCCCAGCCCTAGGCCGTGGCACCACATAGTTGGACAGGGAAGAGTCTGCCCAGCCCGGGGCACCTATGGGCTACCAGAGCTGTGTGCCCACCCACTGCTGCTCCCCCACCAGCTGCTCAGTGCTCAGCCATATTACCTTCTTGACCAGGAAGAGGAGCAACAGCCTGAGGACCTGCACAGCCGGCAGGAGAGGCGCGAAGAGGACCCCCAGCCTGGAGGAGGGGCACAGCCAGTCGTCAGCACCCCCACCTCCTGGACCCAGCTCAGATGGGAACAAGCTGCCCGCACCCTCTGCTGCTGCCCAGGACCAGCCCGCTGCTGCAAGGGAGGCTAGGGCCAACTGTGGCCCAGGAGGGCAGGTGTGGGCCCCAGGGAAAGGGTCACGGACCACAGTGCTCTGCCTGCCCTAGGAACTGGGCAGCCAAGGCAAGTGGGGGCACCTCACCAGGTCAGAGTCTGCCCATAAATCAGGTCCAGAACATTCCTTGCAATATCGAACTCAGGTTTCCGCCTCCTCTTGAGCTTCCTCTCTGAGATGAGCCTGGGTAAAGAAGGGGCCTGACTGGTGGGCAGAAGACCCTCATCCCACCTTGGAAGGCACCAGGTTGGTACACGTGGCCCTCCCCACACAGGCACCCAGCCTGTATCAGGAGAAAGAGCGGCCATCCTGAAACATTCAAGGACTGGACACTGCCCCACTCAACCTTTCTCTAAGTTGGTGAAGATACACCTGACCTAGGCACACAGCGGCAGCAGCAAAAACTGCAAAGTTTTTTAACAATCTTGTTTTTTATTACTAAACTCATATATTTAAAAAAATATAAGGAAATAAAAATCATCTGAAGTCTAGATTCTATAATAGCCCACCAGTGACACTTTGAAGATGCTCTCCACTCTCTTTCGTCTTTTCCTTTGAACAAGGCTAATACTACGACACATGTATCTCTTAGACACCTCATTTTCCTTTCCAATCTAAAAACACGACTCAAATCAGACACAGGGGCGCACACCTGTAATCCCAGCAACCCGGGAGGCTGAGGCAGGAGGATCTCAAGTTCAAAGCCAGCCTCAGAAACTTAGCGAGGCCCTGAGCAACTTAGAGATACCCTGTCTCTAAATAAGAAATAAAAAGGCTGAGGATATGGCTCAGTGGTTAAGGGCCCCTGGGTTCAACCCTCAGGACCCCAAGAAATAAATAAAAATTAAAAATAAATATATAAATAAAACACATCGCATTCCACCTCCTGCACCTTCTGGAAACTTCAATAAGCTTTGGCATGATGCAGATGTACGAGGGTGGGAGGCCCCACCGGTCTGAGGCCCTGCCTCACTGCCCAGGTAGAGTGTCCAGGTGACCAGTACAGGGTGGGAAGCCAGCCCAGCCCATCCAGACCCCCTTGCCTCCACACCAGCTCCCCAAACAGCGTGTCGAGCAGTGCAAACAGGAAGTCCATCACCATGAACCGGTACAGCTCCTGGCCCACGAAGTCCTCCCAACACTGGCCCTGCAGGGCAGCCACCCTGCGGCCCAGCCAGTGGTAGCAAAGAATGCCTAGGATGGCCATCTTGAGGATGAGGTTCCTGCACAGAATGGTGGAGGTGAGTGCGAAGGCCAAGGGAGGGGGCCAGCAATAGCAGGCACACCCGGGGAGCCCATGCCTGCCCAGCCACACACCTGCAGATGGACACGTACACCTCCAGCCCCGGGGACTCATGCTGCTCCAGGGCAGCCAAGCCACGGAACAGGTAGGAGGCCCCCAGGTTGAGGAGGGAGACCACCAGGGGCAGAGCCAGCAGCCTCGCCTCCTGGCCGGCAGACACCGGGCTCTGCAAGGCACCAGGGGAGGGATGCGGTCACTGAAGCACCCCACCAATGGGGTCACGTCCACTCTGACTGACGGGCTCTGAGGGGGCAGAGGGGCTGTGGGAAGGGGCCCAGGGGCAGAAAGCCAGGCAGCACCTCCGTGCCCAGGAGTGGCCCACCCAGGCTCAGTCCAGAGGACAGGGGAGGGCGGGGAAGAAGGAGGGAGACTGCAGCCCAGCCTGAGGGGTCCTCCCCGGCCCCTGCCCGCACCTGGATCGTGACCTCTGAGAAGACGAAGACGGCCACGGAGCAGCCCAGCATGGTGCCCAGACACAGCAGCCACGCCAGCCCCAGCAGGACCGCCCGCCGCAGCCGCCCACGCAGGCTCTGGGGGCTCCTGTGCAGCTGCCACTCAGCCAGCAGCTCCTGTGGGGGCAGCAGGACCTGTCACCTGGCCCACAGCACGAACGTGCAGATACACAGAACACAGGCAGGACAGAGGGACAGGTGGCTGCCAGGCTCCCTGTGCAGCCCGCACCTCCTGCTGCCCCAGGCCTCCCCGCCTCCCCATCTCCCCGGCCCCCTCTGTCTGCCCCAGCAGCATCTCCAGGAAGCCTCCGGAGTGCCAGCCAGCTGCCCTCTGTTCCCGTGGCCCCTGGGGTAAGGACACATGCCCCCCCACAGGAGCTGCCAAGAACCTGGTCACAGCTGAGCTCTCCACAGCACAAGACCCAGGACGGCAGAGGACTTCCACAAGGCCCCGCGCCTGAGACCTTGGGCAAAGGACGTGACCTCTGTGCCCACTTTCTCTCTCGTCCTCCTTACTCACAGGGCCACTGTGGCCATTCAGTGACTAAAGGAGGGTGGTGGGCAGTTATCACCCCAGGGCCGCAGGACAGGAGGGCACAGACCCCAGAAAAGGCCCTGGGAGGGAGTCACCCTCACCTGCTGGGGCTCCGGCCGAGCCCTGCTCACCCCCCAGGGCCGGGGGAGACCGAGGCTGTGTTGGCAGCACTGGCCCCGCCCGCACATGGCAGATGACCCACTGCGCCCCATCCCAGCCCTCGCGGCCAGCTCACAGACGGCTCCCGGGCCACCTCAGCCCGGGCTGGCTGCAGGGACTGGCAGGCTGGTTTGGAGTTCTGGGGCCGTGGGGCAGGGCAGGTGGCCACTCACCTTCAGTTGGGTGCGGATGTTGTCCTGCTGGAGGCGAGAGGCCCGCTTCTCAGTCACCTTGTAGTCCCAGGAGCAGAAAACGGTGATGGCGTGGACGCCCTTGGTGCTGCCCACCCGGTAGCTCTCCCCAAAAGCATGCGACATGCTGGGAACAAGCAGAGATGGGCAGGGTGACGGGGGCCTAGGGGAACAGAGGCCCAGGAGGAAGACAGGACAAGCCCTGCAGCCTCCTCTCTCACCTTGCCCTGGGCAGCCATGCCCTCAGCTTCCTGCCCGGAGTGGACTGCTGGCCGCTCTGGGCCAGCCCTGTCTGACACACGCCCACAGGAAGATGAGCCAGGGCTTCACTCACCAGTAACAGACACCACATGGAAAACACTAGGCTCACCTAAGGGCCTTTGCATTGCTCACCCAATGACCACAGCACCTCCCTTCTGTTCTTCTGCCCACTCTTACTTAACCTTCCCAACACCTGTGCAAACGCCCCCAGGGCCCGGACTGTCCCAGCCCATTCACTGCTCTTTTCCCAGGGACAGCAAGCTTCTTTAGGTTAGGCCTCATGCTTGGGTACCTTCCTGCCCAACACTTGAGGGAGGAATAGACAGGTGGATGGGTGGGTGGGTGGATGGGTAGATGGACAAATGGGTAGATGAAAGTAAGGATGAATAAACAGATAGATGGGTAGATAGATAGGCTAATGGATGGATGGGTGGGTGGATGAGTGGGTGGATGGATAGGTGGATGAACAGGTAGAGGGATGAATGGACAAAGGATGGAAGGATAGGTAGATGGAGGGATAGAAAGATGTATGGGTAGACGGGTGGGTGGATGGGTGGGTGGACAGGTGGGTACATAGGTGGATCAATGGATAGAGGGATGGATGGATGATAAATGGATAGGTAGAAGGATGGATAGACGGTGGGTGGATAGGTAGAAGAACAGGTAGAGGAATGGGTGAATGGATGGAGGAAGGATGGAGGAATGATGGAAATATACATGAATAACGGATGGATGGACAGGTGGGTGGACAGACGGGAGGACAGATGGGTGGAAGGAAGTGCCACTGGACATATGGGTGGTGCTCAGAGCCAGGATCACGTGGCAGAAGGCCATTACCTGTAAACCAAGGAGATGCAGGTGACGAAGAAGGCTGCCCCCATGGTGAAGAGGTAGGCCAGGGGCATGTTGTAGGGAAGGCTGCTGGCCCCGGGGCTGCACTGGTGGCCATCCCGCGGAGGCACGCAGGGCTGGTTCAGCGTGGCGTTGCTGTAGTACCCGTAGTACATGACAGTGTGGGTGAAGCAGCCCTGTGAGGAGGCAGAGCCCGGTCAGGACCCCTCCCGCCCAGCCCACCCGCCCTCAGGCCTCCAGAGGCAGGGGCCGAGTCAGGGCAGAAGGTGGCCCAGGGGCTCCTCACCCCGCCTGTGAGGAGCTCCAGCCCTGTGAAGGCGGGGGCAGGGTCCGGCGGGCCGGGCGGGAGGGCAGCTTGCACCCCCACGAGGAGGCCCAGCAGCAGCAGCAGCAGCAGCGCGTTGAAGGCCAGCAGGGTCTTGAGGAACAGGAAGTAGGAGAGCACGCTGGAGCCGAACTGGCCTCCGATCTGCTTCAGTGTGTGGCGCCACGGCCTCACGGCGTGCAGGCCCGAGAGCAGCGCCAGCCCTAGGCTATGCAGGGCCTGCGGGGACAGTGACAGGAAGGCTCTAAGGGCTAGGACCACACAAGTCACCCGCGGCCCCAAGGCAAGGCCAGGATTAGGAGGCCACCATCAGGGCAGCAGCGGAGGAGCGGTCACCCACCGCCTGGCCCCACTGCACACGGGGCCCCAGCCCCACAGGCTCCTACCAGGATGCAGGAGTATCTGAGCCGGCTGCAGCAGGAAAAGACGCCCCCACGGTCCTGCCGGGCCCTCCGCTTCCCCCTCTGAATCTGGCTCTTCTCTCTGGGGACAGGGGCTACTGTCAGTGACTGACCCTCAGAGGGGCCACCCGCCCACAGACTTGAGACCCTTCTATCTGGCCACTTTCAGCTTAATTGAGGAAGTAGGTCTTGAGGCCATGCGAGGCTGGGGGACACTCACCGCAGGCAGCGTTTCTCAGCCAAGTTCAAGGGCATCCCCCGGAGCATGTGGTCCCGCTGGACCACCGACAGGCCCTGAAGCTCCTTCACCAGGAGGCCTTGCTTCTCTGCAGCGAGAGAGGCTCAGCTGATGCACGGCATCCCTCCCTTCTGCCCATGGCCAGGGTCCTGGACAGGTTATCACCCAACACAAGCTCTGTACCCTGCTGCGGGGCCTGGCTGGCTCCTCTCCAGGTGCAGCCAAAGCCAGACCCAGGCCAGCAGTGTGAGTCACCACCCAGCCCACACCCCCTCCTGCTGGCCAGATAGAAGGGTCTCAAGTCTGTGGGCGTGTGGCCCCCAGGAAGGACCCAGGCCCCTTTGAGGTTCAGCCACTGATGGCAGCCTCTGTCCCTCCCCTCCCTCCACCCCCTGGAGCCCAGAACCCCTTCTCCTGTCTCCACCAGGCCCCCAGAAACCTCTGGGCCCAGTGAAACCCCACCGTCTCCCATCACCTCCCAGCTGTGCTCAGCCTTTGCTGGGAGAAGTTGAGGCAGGACCCAGCCTGGGTGCTCAGAGCCCTGACGTCAACTGCCCCCACACGCTGTTTCTGAGATGGCCTGGCCAGGGCACTCTTTTTTTTTTTTTTTTTTAATATTTATTTTTTAGTTTTCGGCGGACACAATATCTTTGTTTGCATGTGGTGCTGAAGACCGAACCCAGGCCGCACGCAGGCCAGGCGAGCGCACTACCGCTTGAGCCACATCCCCAGCCCTGGCCAGGGCACTCTGAAACCTCAACAGTAAGAGTTTTAGGACCCAGAGCCGGGGTGTGGCTCAGTCATAGAGCGCTTGCCTAGCGTGTGCAAGGCCCTGAGTTCCATCCCAAGCACCACAAAGAAAAATAACTGAAGAGTTCCAGGACCCACAAGAGTTCTCCTTTCATCTAAGAAGTTCAAAGCCCAACATAAGGTTAGGCCAGTGGCAGCAGATAGGCCACACAGGGTCAGGGGCCAGTCAGTCACCACACTTGGGGTCTGAAGCATGGGTGCCACCTCCCTGCATCCTCACAACGAGCAAGGAGGTGAGTGCTACCTTAATCCCAATTCCACAGATAAGAAGTGAGCCTCGGGGAGCTGAAACATGGCCTGGTCCCAGAGTAAATGGTGACTGGGGCATCTGCCCTCACCCAGGGGCCACACCATCCTGTCCTGCTCCATCACCTACCAGACCCTCCCCACTGCCTCAGCTACTCAGACAGGCTGGGGGGCTCCTGCCTCAGGGTCTTTGAATCTGTCCTCTCTGCTCTGGTCATTTCCAGGAAGCTTCCCTGGACCCTCCAGGCTGGGCTGGCTCTCAGGACGCTCTTCTCGGAGACTGATCTGAGCCCTGATCATCTGCTTCTCTGTCTCCTTGGCTCATGTCTGTCTCACTGGGCAGAAGGGGGGATGCATGAGGGCTGCACTGGTCTACTGACCACCACTGCGTGTCCAGTGTCAAAACCGCCCACTGTCAGACACACTCCCATGCTCCAGGGCACGTGGCAAATGCTATTCAGTGCCTGTTGGGCATGGCCCGAGCTGTCTGCAACCTGAAGCCCCCACTTGCCTGCCCCTGAGAGTCCCTGAGGAGGGACCTCAAGGAAGGCTTCCTCACTCTGTTGCACCCCAGCCCCCTGCCCACCTGGACCTCCTGCCCACCTCCCTGCAGGCTGGCGTTCAACACCGGGGCTTAGGCCCCCACTCACTCACCATCCTCCTCGAGGGCCCTGGGGCCCAGCTCCAGGTCATACAGGCGGAGGCTGGGCCGGGCGGAGCGCACCATGTCGCCGAGCAGGGGCCGGCTGCCCCGGCGCCGCAGCTTCACCGTCCGGTTGTAGTACTGGGAGATGATGGCCCCACGGCTGCGGCCTAGGAAGGTGCGTGGCAAAGTGAGGAGGACAGAGTCAGGCCGGACCTTGCCAGCCACCAGGACGGCTGTCAGCAGCAGGCCTCCCCATCCCTCAGGTCTTCCCAGGGCCCAAGACAGTTCCTTTATCAGAGACCTCAGGACCCACTCATTCCAAAGAACCCAGCAAGGCAGCGTGGGGTAGCGCGGGGCCTCCAGGCAGCAGGCGGGGTGGCCAAGAGCCAAAGGGTCTGGCTCAGAGGTGCACAAATGCCCAGGGAGGGGGTCGAAGCCAGCAATGAGGGCAGAGGCTCCAACTCACCGATGGTGCGGCTAGGCATGCTGGCCAAGATGCGGAGTGTGGCTGCGCTGTGGACAGGGGCACCCTCTGGCCCCAGGAGGGTCTGGTGACCACTGCCTATAAAAGAAGGAGATGTCCCTGCCCAGCCACTTTGCCCACCCCATGGCCAGGAGGGTTATCTCCAGCTCCTGTCCACTCTTGCTAGCCTCCAGGCCTGGGCTCACCTGGGACCCCCAGGGTTCCGGCCACCAGCTGCCTCTGCTGCAGTTCCAGCTCCTCCTCTGCCAGCTGGCTCTGCTGTTGGATGAGCTGGTGGAAGGAGTCATGCACCTCGCTCTCCTCATAGGGACTGGGCTCCTGGCTGCCAGGCGGGAGAGGACGAGGGAATCCAGGCTCCAGCTCAGAAATGGTAACACAGCCACCATCCACCAGTCCCCAGCCCCAAAGCACTTACTCCTGGTCCCCTAGAGCCTCAGGGACATTGAGGACCAAGGCCAGTGGCTGGGCCATGTCTGCGGTCCACGCCCAGCCCGTCTGCAGACTTAGGGCAGCTCAAACCCTGGACACCACCTCTGGAGACTCCCACTGCCCATCTGATGAGACAGAGACAAAGTAAACCCTCAATGCCTGGCACACATCCAAATAGCCTGCTCCCTGGGGGACCAAGCTGCCTGCCCCTCTCCTATCCCCCACCCACAGATAAACAAATGGTCAGGGGAGTGACCCCAAGTAACCCTCATGCCAAAATGGCTGAGGAAGAGGGAAAGAGAGAAAAGAAAGGAAGGAAGGGTGTGGACCTGCAGTTCCCATCAGTTTCCTCGATGTCGTCAGTGGTCTCTAGTGCCTGGAAAATGAGGAAGGGGTGGGTGCCTGTGGACGCTGCCCTTTTCAGGCCCTCCATTCCCAGGGTGCTGCCCCAGGGACACCTTCCTCTAGGACAAAGGTCAGGGCAGCTCAAGGCCTTGCCTGTGCCTGCCCTGTAACCCCAAAGCCCTTCCTCTAGCAGGAAATCCGCCAGGCAGCCCTGAACCCTGCCCCCCCGCCCCAGCGGAAGCAGCACACAGAAGGGCTCCCTGCCCCCACCCCACTGAGTGCTCCACTCTGGCGCTCCAAGGTCCTCTCGTCCTCAGGAGACTGACTCCCTACATTCCATCACCACAGGGTGGCCATGGGGGAGGATGCTGGACCCAAACAAGCCCCCTTTGTGTTGGCTCTGGCGTCACCCAGCACAAGTGGAGCCAGCATGGCCCTGTGTGGGGCTGGGCCTCTGGGCCTAGCGCCCTGTGGGAGTGGGGTGCCCAACACTGTTGCCAACGGGCTGACTCTGCAGAACTCCCGCGGGACACAGGCCCAGCCCTGGCCTCAGTCCTCCCTGCCCTCAGCCCCAGGGAACCAGGAAAGTCGGTTCCTTTCAGGAGGCTTCCCCGACCAGCAACAGCACAGTCCCTGCAGACTGGTGACCACACTGTGCCCAGCCTGGTGTCCTCGACACCTAGGACTGAACAACCCAGGTCCTGCCCTCCCTCTAGTAGAAACATAACTGTTGGAGGCCACCTAGAGCCTTAGAGGTGGCCCCCACCGGGCCCCAAGTGTAAACTAGCCAAGCAGGGTTGAGGGGTCCCCTGGAACCCTTCTCTGGGCAGACAGACCCTCCCAAGCTCAGATCCACAAGGGGATGGGAGGTGCTGGGGGCTGCGGACCAGGGTCCCTGGGCTCCCCGGCACGCCTGACTTCAGCGGGCGACACCCAGTGCCCCGCCCCAGGCGGGCCAGGTCCCAGCGTTTCCTGAGCCGAGCCAGGTGGGGAGCGCCGGGGCTGTTTTCAGGAACCCGCACCCTGAGGACAGCGACACGACCGGGCCGCCCCTGCCTCGAGCCCCGCGCGGCGACGGCGACAGGGCCGCGGAGCAGGCCTCCCGCCCTGGCGCTGCCCGGGCTGGGCTCCCGCTCCCAGCTCCGGTGCCAGCCAGAGTCGGCCCTGGGAGGCCCTCTGGGAACTCGCTGCCAAGTGGCCTCGAGGCCGAAGGAGCGCGGCCCCGCGGAGCGGCCCGCCGCAGGCCCAGCCCCACCCCACGCCACGCCGATCTGCGACCCCGCGGGGACCCCGCGCCGGGACTCGGGCCACTCACCTGGGAGGCGCCGGGAGGCGGGGCGGGGCGCCGGCGAGTGGCTCACCTGTCCCGCAAGGGCCGCCGGGAACCGCGCTCTGGGCTCCACGACCTGAGGGAGGGTCAGTGGGAGCGAGTGACAAAGGGCCCCCCCCCCGGAGGGGGGGCGATCAGTGACTGTCGCAAGCCTGGAGGGCAGAGGGAGCTGCACCGCCAGCCCCGCGAGGCGGCGGGCATCGGTCACGTGACCGCTCCCTCCGGGTGTGCCCAGCCCCGCTGGGGCACCGGCCGACTGCGCCCTCTGCCCGCCGACTTCCGACCCTTCTCGCCCGGTCCCTGGAGTCTGCGCAGGGTGAGGGGTGACTGTCGGCCTCCAGGCAAACTCCGGCCCAAGCCCCCAGTTTTTGTAAGACGCGGCTTCCCCAAGTTTCAAAAGGGGACAATCATCCAGACCCACCCACTTCCCAGGGCCAGGGACTGTCAAAACCCGACGGTGCGCAGCCTTTCCACACCGTGTTGGGTAACCCCTTCCTCCCGCGCCTCCAGCGCGACATCCGCCACACCCCCAGCTCCGCCAGCGGCTATCGCCCCCTTCTGCTCGGGGCGGGGTTCCTGTGGCTTATCTAGTAAAAGTTCTGGCGATTCCTGTGAGCCAGCGGGCGGGAGGGGGCGCAGAGGAAGACAGCGAACTTCCCAAGGGCTGCGCCCACTGCTGGGCTTTCTGTTATTCCCTACAAGCAGGAAGGCAGGCACTGACCTTCCTATTTCGCAGATAAGAAAACCGAGGCTGAGAAAGGATGGTCAGTCTCCAGGGTGCCATCAGCCAGCACAGGGGCCTTGGTCCAGCTGGGAGCTGTGAGCAGGAAACTGACTTTGAGACACCTCTCCCCCAAGCTCATGAGAAGGTGGAGGGGGCTGAGGCAGACACGTGACTGAACAGGAAGTCGAAGACGGATGAAAGATGGGGCCCTCCTGGCGGGGGAGGTCAGGACTCCAGAGAGCATGCAGGAGTGCGAGGACTTCATGAAATCTGTGGGAACGGGTCCAGGGATCTGAGCTTGGACCTGAAGGGAGAGGCCAGGTGGGGCTTCCTCGCAGCTGTAAGTGTGGTTCTCAGGTGCGCTCCCTGGCGCATGGAGGCCCAGCCCCGCCCAGGCCCTGTACCCCTCCCGCCTCTTCCCCGGCCCTTCTCTGCATGCCCAGGCGCAATGTGCATGGCCCCAGGTGAACGCAGTTGGAGCAGTGCCACTTCCTACACACAAGAGCGTTTGAGGATCTTCCCCCTGCTCCCCCAGCCCACTGCGCCCACCAGCAGCCAGCTTGGGGGCTGGCACAGAGTGGGATCTGGAAAGCAGGAGCGGGGTGATCAGGGAGGCAGAAAAGCTCTGGGAGGATTCAGAGCTGGGATGACGGGGCTCTGAAGGAGGGGGACAAGGAGAGGGAGGTAGGGCTGGGCTGCAGAGCCTCCCGGGGATGAGGCCCGGGAATGCCAGGACAACTCCGAAACGTCCAGCCGGGAGGGGCGCTCCCGGCGCCTAGGGTTGCTTCCCGAAGGCTTCTTACGGGCCAGAAGCCAGGCCCGTCCCTGGACCTGGGCAAAGGGTGGTGCCAATGATAGAGGCGGGAAGTTCAGAAACAACGCCAGAGGCCTCTGCAGATCCAGAGGCCGGGTGCGCTGCTTCCCGCCTGAAGGCGACCTGCGGCGGGCAGTTAAGGAGCCCAGCCCTGCACCCCGCCGCCGCTGCCCGAGGGTCGGTCCCGGCTCCCACGCCAAAAGAGGGCGCGAAGGGGCGCACGCGCTGCAGTAGCAGGGGTCCGAGCGTGGCCCGAGGGCAGCGGAGCCCGCGACGCCCGCAGGGAGCTGAACCGGACCCCAGCCGGCGCGCACCGGGCCTGCCCAACCCCCGGAGCCGGCGCGCGGCTCTCACCTGCGCCCCCGCGCCCCACGGCCGACAGGAAGCGCCTGCTCCGTGCAGTAGACGGCCGAGGAAACGGCGGGGAAGGCGGGGGCGAGCCGAGAGGGAAGAGAGGCAGGGGCGGGGAGGGCAGGGTTCCTGTCATGTGACCCCAGCCGCCCGCCCTCCCAGCGCTGCCTGGAGTGGCGGCGGCAGCCAGAGGAGGGGGCGCCTCGGTGGTCCCCAGGTGAGCTGGATGCAGAGCCTGGTGGAGGAGGAAAGTGGAATAATTGAGTCCGAAAGCCTGGGGTGGGGTGTCATAACCGCTGCAGAGGCGGCCTTGGGGTCCCCTGCTCCCCTTCCCACGGCTGGGGCTGTAGCCACGCCTCCTCTCCTGGGTCAGGTGAGGGGCCCTAAGCAAGCCCAGGCCTGGGAGGCTGGGTGACCAGAAGGAAGACAGAGCGGGGTCCCAGGACGTCCAGAGCTGGGGTGCTGCAGTTTGCCGCATCCTAGAACTGTCCCGGCTGGCAATAGGGTGTCTTCCTGAAGGGGAATGGGCACATGAAGAGGGGCGAGAATGTGGTTTTGCAAAGGGTGACCTGCAAGGCCTGTGGCCACAGGTGACTAGGGAGTGGGAAGAGCGGGCATGTTCTCTGACCTTTCACCCCATTTGACAGATGGGGAGACTGAGGCCCTATGCCATGTGTCGCTTTGAGAGGTGGAGCTGGACTTAATTCACATCCTGACCCTGCAGGATTCTCTTTTCACTCGGGGCATCCCTGGGCCAAGGCCCCGAGGCTCACCACCTGGCACCCACATTCTTCCTGGGAGTAGGGGGACGGCCAGGATGCTGCGACAGTGGTCGGGACAGTCGGGGCAGGCCCCGGGGGAGGCAGAACCCCCGCCTGCAGGCGAGGAGCTGTGGGAGCAGGAGATGGAGCGGCTCTACGCCTCCCGGTCGCCGGTGCGGACGCTGCCCTATGCCATCGTGGACAAGCGCTTCATCCGGTGGGTGGCCGGCCGGGCGGGGGCCGTGGGAGTGGAGGGCCTCCAGGTGGCCCAGTCAGATAGAGGGTGGAAAACGCCAGCAGCCCGATGGCGCCCTCTGCCTGGCGGGGTGGGCAGGACGGGTGACTCAGGGGCGTCCGGTCGCCACCCCATCCCAGGCACCTGCGGGAGCCGAATGGAGTGAAGAGCTCGTGCTGGCAGCGGTGGCAGCGCAGGTGGCAGATCGCACGACGACGCCTGGGGGAGGCGGCGCACCGGCTGGCCCAGGGCTTCGGGCTCTGGGAGGGGGCTCTCTACGAGATCGGAGGTAGGACCCACGACGACCCCTACTTCCCACCTCCTATCTCTGGGGTCCCAATATCCAGTTTCGAAAGGAAGAGGGCACCATCCCTCCGGTCATTGCCGGGGTCCACCCGCAACGATCAGCCCCTCCATCCTCTCTCTCACACACACACCCTCAGCCTCCCAAAGGCAGGTGCAAACCACGATGGATGACAGCACCCTCTGGTGGCCCCCGGAGGTACTGCGGGGAAGCCTCGTGCAGGTCAGCGAGCTGGGCACCCCCATTGAGTGGGCTGATAGGCACTCCAAGCCCATGCCCTGGCCCAGTCGGATCCCAGTCGGTGCACCTGTGTCTCCCTCGCCCGCCCTGCTCTTCTCCCCACAGGCCTCTTTGGCACCGGGATCCAGTCCTACTTCACCTTCCTCCGTTTCCTACTGCTGCTCAACGTGCTGACTGTGGGGCTGACTGCCAGCATGGTGCTACTGCCCCTGGCCTGGCTCCGCCCCCCGGACCCAGGCTCCGCCCAGAACTTGAGTGAGTACTGCAGCCGCCCCCTGATCCTCTGGGCACACCCTGGCATGCTGCCTGTGCCCAGCCTGGACTACCCTGCCTTGACTTTTGCATGGCACACTTCAGACACATCCACAGTGTCAGGGTTGGGGCTAGACTCACGAGGGCAGACTGTTGCCCTTGCCCTTGTCATGGAGACTTCTCTCTATTGGTCCCTCCCCCTCCTCAACAGCCCTGCAGTGCCCTGGCAGCCACCAGCCCCAGATTGGCATTCCGAAATTCCACAATCAACTTTGGAATGTTTTAACTGGCAGGGTAAGTGGGGTCACCCTGGCCACGGTCCAGGGGTCCTGGGAGGCTCCTGCCCCATCCAAGGACTCTTGGTTTCTAGAGAAAGGTCTGCCACAGAGGCTGGTGGGGCCCACAGTGGGGTCAGAGAGAGGCTGGCCTCCCCTGGGCCTGCTACATGTGCAGCACAGACCCACACACACCTGGGGCCCTCAGAACACAGCTGGGGTTGGGGGTTCAAGGAACAGGAGCCCATAGTGTAAAGTCCAGGCCTTTGGGACTGGAAGCCATCGAGTGGCCCTCAGGGTGGACCGCTAGGTCAGAATCCTGGCTCTGTTCCCCAGAGCTGACCCTGAGCAAGTTGCCTCACCTCTGAGCCTCTGCAAGGTGGGAGCATTCTCACCTGGTGGGTTACTGTGGGTGAGGAGTTCCCCCTAGGAAGGGCTCAGTACAGAGCCTGGACGCACCTGCTCAGGGTCTCCTTCCTGGTCCCCAGGCCTTCACCAACACCTATCTCTTCTATGGCGGGTACCGGGCGGCGCCCGAGAGCAGCTCTGCATACAGCATCCGCCTGGCCTACCTCCTCAGCCCACTGGCCTGCCTGCTCCTCTGCTTCTGTGGGACCCTACGGCGGTGAGTAGACCGTCCTCCCTGACACCCACTCCTGTGGTGGGGACCCCCAAGATAGCAGATAGACCCCCGTTTCCTACTCAGTAAGGCTCCTGGTGGTTCCTCAGCCCAAACTCATGCCTCCCCAGCTGCAGACCTCAGGAGCAGGGGCCACTGTGTCCCCAGCCCCACACACACAGGCTTCCCATGCCCAGCCCAGAGCTGGGCCACTGCTAAGGCCGAGGGGGAGGCCCCTCCTACAGCAGTCTGTGCCCCCAGGATGGTGAAGGGGCTGCCACAGAGGCTTCTCCTGGGCCAGGACTACAGAGCGCCTCTCAGTGCCAAGGTCTTCTCCTCCTGGGACTTCTGCATCCGGGTCCAGGAAGCGGCCATCATCAAGAAGCATGAAATCAGCAATGAATTCAAGGTGTGTGCAAGAGGGAACCGAGTGTGAAGCAGTGTGCGAATGAATCGTGTGTGCGTGAGGGCATGTGTGAGCGAGTGTGTGTTTCACAGGCAGAGCTGGAAGAGGGCCGGCGCCTCCAACTGGCGCAGCAGCGGTCCCCCACCCAGAGGGCCTGCCACCTGCTCACCTTCCTGTGGGTCAACGTCCTCATCGGGCTCCTGGTGGTTGGGGCCATCAGTGCCATCTTCTGGGCCACCAAGTACTCGCAGGACAAGAAGGAGGTACCTGGCAATTGCCTTCCTTTCATTCTGCCAGGACTGAGGGAGGGGACAGGAATCCCACTGTGCAGACTGGGAACTGAGGCCCAAAGAAGTCAAAGCGGCCATGACCTTGTGGTCTGGCCTGTGGATGTCCTGTTGACAGAGCTCTGGATCCTGCCTGTACCCATGTCATGTCTAAGGGGCCAGAGGGGCCGGGGAGTGGACGGGGTCCTGCTCTGCAGGCTCCCTGACCTGCTACACCCCACAGGAGGACCTGTTCGTGGTACTACAATATCTCCCCCCAGGGGTCATCGCCCTGGTCAACTTCCTGGGTCCTCTGTTGTTTGTGTTCCTGGTCCAACTGGAGAACTACCCCCCCAGCACCGAGGTCAACCTCACCCTCATCTGGTAAGCACACCCTCGGGGGCTTGTGGGACGAGTCTGTCTCCTGCTGTCCTGGCTGTCATCTGGCACCTGGGGGTCCCAAACCGGGAGGCTCCCTGTGTTAACCACTGCACCAGAGGGCAGGCAGGTGGGCTTCCTCGGCCCCGAAGGAAGCCTCCATTCTGGACCAACCACCAGCCATTTAGAGGGACAGGGGCTTTTTGTCCAGGAGACATTGCAACAGGCTTTGCCCACTTAGAAAAACACAGCACAGGCACACAGCTCCCTGAGGGCTTTACACCCCTAACTTGACAACCAGCACTCGGCGTGAGAAGTCCCTACCACCCTCATCCCCGTTGGGTGGACAAGGAAACAGCCTCCCAGGGTGAAGTGCCCAGCCAGGCCTGACCTCAAGTTGCCTTTGGGTACAGGTTCAAATGCAAGCCCTCCTGCAGCCCATGTTCCTTCCTAGCTCAGCACTTGGTCCTGTCTCTGCTCCAAACTCCTCCCAAGGACTCCTCCTGGACAGGCTCCTGAACTCCAGCGGCTTCTCCTTCCTCCTGCTACCCGACCCTCTGGGACCTGCTTTTCCCTCTGCTTTCCTCACATCAACTGTGGTTGGCCTTGAAACTTTATTTTTGTAGTAGGTTAGAAATGTGCGCATGGGAGCTGGAGATGCAGCTCAGTGGTAAAGCGTTTGCCTAGCGTGCGTGACACCCCGAGTTCAATCCCTAGTATCGAAAAAAAAAAAAAAAAAAGAAAGAGAAAACTTTACACATGTTAAAAAATTCAAAATGCTTAAAAGGATAAAAGATTTAAAAAATAAGCTCCCGCCCACTCCTGCCTCCCAACCTCCCTCAACTGAAGAACCACAGTTCCCCGCCCTTCTGGCCACACATGGGTACTGCAAATGTCCCCCAAAAATAACATGCATGCAATGGTTTTAGGCCATCAGACCGACACGGTCCAGTGAGGCATTATTTAGTAAGCACGGGCTGCATGTGCTTATGATATGTGAGATCAGGTCAGCGGGCTAGGATGTCAGTGAGCAGCAGAGAAAGGAAGACCTGGGGGCCACCGTGCAGCTGGGTGGCAGGGCCTGTGCTCGCATGTGCGAATCCCTGGGTTTGAGCCTCAGTACTGCAAAATAAATAATAAATAAGGACAGTCTCACCTGTTCTGAGAGGCCCAAGGTCTGTGTCCTGCAGGCTTGTCCCACATGAGTTGCTAAGCTGAGAGGTGGAGTAGGGTAGCGGATTCTGTTGTGTTTCCCAGACCTCTTCCCCATGAATGATCTGGGGACTCGGATTCTGGGAACACCCTTTGGGGAACACTGCTGTGGACGGAGCAGCTGGAAGGAGGCTGGGCCCTGGAGTTAGAGGGGGCAAGGTGTCTCATGGACTCCACCCGGCGCCCAGCCCCTGACCCAGTGCCTGCCTGCCCACAGGTGCGTGGTGCTGAAACTGGCCAGCCTGGGCATGTTCTCCTTCTCCCTGGGCCAGAGCACCCTGTGCATCGGCGGAAACAGAACCAGCTGCGAGGCCTACGGCTACAACGCCTGTGACTACCAGGTAGCCGGCAGCCTGGGGCCTGTCCCTCCCATTCTTCTCAGCAGGGCTCCCCTCCAAAACCAGACAGAGCCCTGGAGACTCCTTGTCCTCCCGAGGTCTCACCTCTGTGACAAGCTGGGAGCAGAGCGGCCACACCGCTGCCCATACCCAGGGGGTGCTCCTGTTCCACACACGCTCAGGCCATGCAGCCCCCCTGGCTGGGGGACCCAGCTCCAATCTAACCCCGAGGTTGTGTCCGACTGGAGGAAAGGCTCCTGAACTCCTCAATGAGTGGGTGGGGCAGGGGAGCCTGGTGGTGGTGGGTGCTGACCGCCCCCTCCTCTGCACCCAGTGCTGGGAGAACGCAGTGGGCGAGGAGCTGTACAAGCTGATCATCTTCAACTTCCTCCTCACCGTGGCCTTCGCCTTCCTGGTCAGCCTGCCTCGGAGGTGAGCCATGGGGGGCCCCCAGGGAGGATGCTCCGGGGCTACCGTGGGCATGGTTGGGGATGGCCAGTGGACACAGCCAAGGTCAGCCAGGCATTTCCATGTGGGTGAGGGTGTAATGGTCCCTGGCCATGACTGATGTGGCCCACACACCCCTCTTGCCTGGTGGGCACGTGGACACCCCCTGCCAGGCTGCTGGTAGAGCGATTCTCAGGCTGGTTCTGGACTTGGCTGGACCGAGAGGAGTTTCTGGTGCCCAAGAATGTGCTGGACATCCTGGCAGGGCAGACGGTCACCTGGGTGGGCCTCTTCTTCTGCCCCCTGCTCCCCCTGCTCAACAGCATCTTCCTGTTCCTCACCTTCTACATCAAGAAGGTGAGGGCACCCAGTTGGGTGGGAGCAGGAGAGCTGGGCTGTGGCCTTCCGCCCTCCCTCACTTCCTGGGCCTCAGACTGGGGGCCGCTGCCTGACGATTCCTGCTCACCCTTGCTCACCCCCAGTACACCCTCCTGAGGAACTCCAGGCCTTCCCCGCGGCTCTTCCGTGCCTCCAGCTCCACCTTCTTCTTCCAGCTAGTGCTGCTGCTGGGCCTGCTCCTGGCCGCAGTGCCCCTGGGCTACGTGGTCAGCAGGTGAGAGGAGGACTGGGAGGCCGGCAGAGGCAGCTCCTCCCTGGGGCCCTGACAACTGCCTCTCCACCTCTCCTTCTGCAGCACCCACTCCTCCCGGGACTGTGGACTCTTCACCAACTACTCAGCCCCCTGGCAGGTGGTCCCTGAGGTGGTGGCCCTGTGGCTCCCGCTGCCTGGCCAGCGTGCCCTCAACTACCTCAGTTCCCATGCCTTCAGCTTCCCCCTCCTCATCCTGCTCAGGTGCCTCAGGGTGGAGGACCCCTGGGAGGGTGCCCTTTCCCTGGGGGTGGAATAGGACTGGCAGCCCCTGGCCAGTCTCCCGGGATCCAGAAACCAGGCAGGAGTTGCCCGGGGAAGCAAGTTCCCCAAGAGAGGTGGCCTGGGGGTCCTCACGTGCCTCCCTGTAAAGCAGGAGCCTCTGGGCCCGGCTTCCTGTGTCAGGGGACTGCAGAACCCCCCCGGGAGGGGGCGAGAGATGCTGTCTCCCCTTGAGGAGAGAGGCCCCTGTGGTGGGAAGGGTGGCTGACCTTGCATCCCTGTCCTCCCCAAGCCTGGTCCTGACCGTGTGCGTGTCCCAGTCCCGCGCCAACGCGAAAACCATCCATGAGCTCCGGAAGCAGCTAGTGTGGGTGAGTGTCCGCTGGGCTGGGGAGGGGACATGGACTTCAGAGGACACCCTCTCAGGGGTGTGGGGCCTGAGGTCTGGGACCGACCCGAGGTTGAGGTTGTCGGGGGTTTTATCCTGGTGAAGAGGGTGACCTTGGCTGGGGGTAAAGACAGGTAAGCGGAGGGAGCAACCGGTTCCACTGGAGCAGCACTTGAAGCTCCTCCACCCTGCAGCCTGGGAGCGGGGGCGTGGCCTATGGTCACTAGGAGGCGGTCTTGGGAGTGGTCTAGGGCGGGGCCTCTGGTCGCGTTGGAGGAGGGGCCTGTGGGCGGGGCCTCAGACACGTCGGGGGCGGGCATTGGAGAGTAACCTAGGGATGGGCGGGGCAGAGCCGCGGCTGGGAACTGGTGGGCGTGGCCTTTGGCTTCAGCCCACAACCCGCCTCTCGCTCTCCCGCAGCAAGGCCGGGAGAAGTGGCACCTGGTGGAGGACCTGTCACGGCTGCTGCCAGAGCCGGCCCCGAGCGATTCTCCAGGACCCGAGTCCCCTCTCTCCCGAGCTTCGCGCCCACGGTCCTTCTACCCCGGTTTCCCTTGCCCAGGATCCCCGGGCCCCAGGGCCCCCCGACCGGGCCCTTCCCGGGTTGTTCCCACTGGGCTGAGCCCCGGGTGTCCCGGCCCCTCCTCCAGATTCCGCTACCCCAGCGGCGGGGCTCTGTAGCGCGGACCCCACGTGCCCTGCCTGGACCCACTTCCTCCCCAGGCCCTCTTAGCCCATGCTCCAGAGCCCTGGTGACCACTGCCCCTCCCTGCTCCCGGGCCTCCCCCAGGACTCCCCAGAGAGGGCCAGCAGGAAGACATAGGGAAATTTCTATCATCTATATTTTTATCTTATCCCTTCGAGTTTCCTTTTTTGTTGCTGTTGACGTTTTATAATACACACATATATTAGTATGTGACGGCTGAAGGTAACTTTCAAAATACATCAACTGGGAGTGCTCAGAAGTTGCTTACCCAACGGTGTACTGCCCTAGTTTGGAACCCTCTCCCTAGGCTGGGCCTCCTGCATGCCACCCACTTGGCCCTCCACATGTAGGGAGCCCACAAAGGTCCCGGCCATGGTCAACAAGGGGCAGAGCTGGGATGTGAATGGACCCAGAGGCATGGGCTGCAAGGCCACACTGGACCCATATGAGAGGCCATTCCAACCGTGACCACAAGGGCTCACTGCAATGAGAGGGTGTTGTCAGCCCCTCCCTTGAAGGCTCCTCACTGTTCCATCCTCTCAAACCTGTGTCAACAAGGGCACCTCAGGAAGCCAGAACCCAGCCTTCCACACAACCTGTCCTCCAGCCTGCTCACTGAGCTGACCTTGAGCCCCGTGAGGTGAGTGGGAGCCATGTGCTGTGAGTGTGGGCTGCAGGAGCTCGCCTGACCATCACAGCCCCAAAGGCAGGGCTACTGAACCCACAGTTCCCAGCCACTCTGAGGTGTTGGTCCAGGCACAGCCAGGGGCATTAGGACTTTAATTCATTTATTGAGGATCAAATCCAGGGCCTCTCAGGAGCTAAGCAGAGACTGTACCACTAAGCCACCCCTTCGGCCCCTCCAGACTTTTTAAATCATCCAGGGGTCTCTCACATGCAGCTGGGATGGAGAACTGAGAAGGGAAGGCCAGAAGGAGCCCGGGACATGGCTGAAAATCCTCCAGCGTCTCCCTGCATTTCTGCCTGCACACCATCCAGGCGGCTCTGGCCCGATGGCCTGGGGCTGGGGGCTTCTCATGTGATCATGAAGACTTGGCCAGTTCAGCTCCTCCTGCTGCCAGAGGCCTCCCTGAGCGATTCTCCAGGCCACGGTCCCCTCTCCCGAGCTTCTCACCCATGCACCTCTGCCCCTGCTGACCACATGACCCAGCAGTCCAGGAGGGAACACAGATTAGGTGCTAAGTGCTAGGTCCTGGTCTGGGAGCTGCCTATGACACCCCGAGGAAAACCGACAAACTGTGTTCAGTCTGCAGAAGGCCACTAGCCTGGCCCAGGTGAAGGTGGCATATGTTAATTAACAGGTCCCTGGACCCCAGCAGCAACATCTGGAAGCAGGTTAGAAGTGCAAACTCTAGGCCCAGACCTCCTGCACCGGGAACTGTAAACATCAGTAATGTTTTCTGTTTGTGTTGTTGTCTTGTTTGGGCAGTGCTGGGGTCAAACTCAGGTCCAGTGGTAGAGCAAGAGCTCAGGAACCCAGGAACCCAGGGTCTCGCACGTGCTAGGTGAACGTTCTACCCCTCAGCCCCAGCCCCAGCCCCAGCGAGTGTTTTAATGAGCCCTTGAGAGGAATGCTAAAGTGTGAGGACCTCTGTAAGGACGAAAAAGGGCCTGTCCTCAGCACCTCCTCCTCCCTTCCACCCAAGGGGACCTGGCCAACCACTGGGGACAGGCTTAGAGACCTCGAGGAATTCAGCCAATCTCGGGCCTCAGCTTGCTCATCCAAGACATGGGGAGGAGGTCCCACTCCTCTGAGTGGCCGGAAGGATTAAGTGAGCAAGTCCTGATGGACTGTAGCTAGAAGGGCCTCAGGGCTCCTTTTGCAGAGTGGCCTGAAGGAGCCCAATGGGAGAAGTGGGGATGGGACCCAGGACCCCTTGTAATCAGGAAGACAATGAGGGGACAACAGGGGATGGGCCCCTTCCAGCAGGAGGGTTCATGAAGGAGGTGACAGTGGAGCCTCGGAAAAGGGAGGTTGGCGGAGATGAGGAGGTCAGAGCAAAGCCTGGTGTTGGAGCCCTGCAGGGGGCTGGGAGTGGGGTCCACAGGGCCGGAGTGACTTTCTGTAGAGGACGGGGAGCCAACGGGTTGTGAAAGGAGGACCCCCCTCTGCCAGTAGCCCACAAGTGAGAGACCCCCTGGGGATACGGCAATAAGCCAGGCTCAGGTCTCCTCGGGTGCACAGTCCACTGCAGGGGAAGGGCAGGAGTCCCAGCGCCTTCCACCTTGGCCGTTCCTGCACTGTCCCGCCAGCGGTGAGGGCTCTCCCATCTCTGTGGCCTCCTCGTCCCTCAGGCCAGGCAGCCTGCTGGGGCCCTTCCCGGAACAGGATGTGAGAGAAACAGGAGGCGGTGGTAGGGCCCTCTGCTGTGGGGAGACTGGCCCTGGGCGGGCAAAGTCACAAAGTGCCACTGTGTGGTGGGGAACTGGAGGGCTCTGGGGTCGCCCCAAACTCCCCTCGAGAGGTGACCTGCAGGTAACCAGCCCTTTCCCCTCTGCCAGATGGAGAGAGGCTCAGCCGGTGGACAGAGGGGCATCTCCCAGGAAATGACACCCAACAGAAGGGTACACAGGTGATCCCCAGAGGCCTGGGGTGGGGCGGGAAAGTCCTGGGTCCCACCAAGGCCCAGGGAAGATGTCCCTGGAGCTGCCCATGGCCCTCCTCTGACCTGGAATCCCAAATCCAGAGAAGATGAGGCGATTCCTCAGGGACGCGGGAGCTGAATCCATTCCCCAGAGACGACAGGGGAAAGCACTGCTTCCTGGGCCTGTAGGCAGCAGACTGGCCTCCCCAAGAGACCTCTTCTGGGTCCCCCTGCAGGCCTCACGTCCTCCCCCAACCCACCCCCAGCAGGAGCGAGAACAGACTCGACTCGAGAATGGGGATTTTGCTGGGAACTAAGAAAGAATACCCTTGTCCCCTTGGAGAAATGACAGGCACGTAGCTGAGGGGTGGGAGGCACAGGCTGCATCCTCAGGACCATGAGTGGCAGGCCACAGAGCTGACTCAAGGTGGCTGGGGAGACAGGGTGCCACCAAGGGCCAGCACAGCTGGTCTGGGGACACCTGCACTGACTCTCCCCGTTGCCCTTCCCACTGTTCCCTGGACAGGAGGGCCACCCCTCAGACCAGCTCCTGAAGTCACCAGGCCTCAGCAGCGCCCCCTGAGAATGGCAAGAGGGGGAGCCAGGGACAGGGCAGTAATTGGCCTGGGTCAATGGACACTTACCCCTGGGGGCAGCCAGTGGTTGACCAGGCAGGCGCAGCAGGAGAACAATGGAGACAAATGGTTACCTGACGGTAGGGGACGTGGTCCTTGAAGAAGCAGCATTTCCTGCCCAAGTCCCTGAACCTGGTCAGAAAACCATGGGCTGAGCAGGAAGTCATGGCGCACGCCGGTGATCCCAGCAGCTCAGGAGGCTGAGGCAGGAGGATTGCAAGTTCAAGGCCAGCCTCAGCAGCTTAGCGAGGCCCTAAGCAACTCAGAGAGACCCTGTCTCTAAATAAAATATCAAAAATGGCTGGGGATGTGGCTCAGTGGTTAAGTGCCCTGAGTTCAATCCCCAGCACGAAGGAAGGAAGGAAGGAAGGAAGGAAGGAAGGAAGGAAGGAAGGAAAGGAAGACAAAAGATAAAACCACCGGCTTGTCTGGAAGCCCCAGATCCAAGCTCAGGTGAGATGCCCGGCTGCATGGGCTGGGAGGACCCAGTGGCCCCTGCAGGGGGCCATCTCATCTGCTCCCACAGCCATCTGTGTCCCTCGACCCCGGGATGTGTGGCCCTGGTCTGGCCTTAGTGCTCAGGAAGGCCTTACTCACCCCACCGATCTCTTAGTTTCCCTAATGCAGCCACCAACCAGGCCACAACGCTGGTGGTGATGTGGCTTGGTCTTCTCTTTGTCCATGTCACCTGGGTCACTGGGTATCCCCCTGTGTTCCACTTCCTGGGCGGGTACCGGGCAGTGATGACGCAGGTCTCACTTGAAAGAGGTACGGACTGAGTTATCATTTCCTCATTTGCTGTAAAAACAAACACTTTGTTGCCGCTAAAAAAAGACCTGGTGTCTGGGTCTCAGGAAAGTACCTGGAGGGGCAGTCCTGCCTCCAAAACAACCCCAGTCCCTGGCTGCTGCTCAGATTTTTGGTGACCAAGCCCTGATAACTAAGAGACTGACTGACGGGTAGATCTCCTTCATCCATTCAGCAAATACTCGTGGCTGGTGGCCCACACCTGGAATCCAGCGACTTGGGAGGCTGAGGCAAGAGGATCACAGTCTCAGCAATTTAGTGAGACCCTGTCTCAAAATTAAAAAATAAGAAAAAGAAAAAGGCGGGGGTGTAGTTCTGGGTGAACTCCCTTGAGTTCCATCCCTAGTAACACACACACACACACACACACACGGAAGCACAGGCCCCTGAAGATGACCCCAGGGTTTGGTGTGGGCCACAGCGAGGGTTGGCTCCATCAAGTGCAGCCTGCTGGAGGAAACCCGTCAGTGGGAACGGAAGGCGGGCAGGAGGCCTGGGCATTAGGAACCGAGGAGCCTGGGCACCCGGGAGAAGCGGGAGTGACGGCCAGCCTTCAAGGAGTGGGAGAGATGGTCGCTTAGGGAGGGGACAGGGAAGATGGCCCAGAAATATCACAAGGATGCCAACCTTCAGCCCAGTCCATGAAGGCTCCGGGGGACAGGCCACCACCCAAGATGGTGCCCGGGCAGGAGGGATCCGGTTCCCATAAGATACAGACCGCAGGAGGCTGGCCGAGGTGCCTGGGTGCCGAGGAGGAGCTCAGGACTGGGTGGTGAGAGGCGGCTCACGGCGGGAACGCTAAGGGTGAGCAGGGGATGAGGTGACTCGGGCTGATGCAAACGTCACAGCCACGTCCTCATTTCTAGGGAGGAATATCTGACTGGAGACAGATTTAAACTACAGTTTGCTGGGCACAGTGGCACCCACCACCAGCGATTTGGGAGGCTGAGGCAGGAGATCACAAGTTTGAGGCCAGCTTCGGCAACTTAGAGAGGCCCCATCTCAAAATAAAAAATAAAATAGGCTGGGGATGTGGTCCGGTGGCAGAGCACCCCGAGGTTCAGTCCCAGCTACCAATAAACAGAGTTTAAGTCGCAGGAGCAACAGCAAAGGATCCTTGATGGGTGGCCTCCAGGTAGCTCTGAAGCCAGTTAGGATCCTCAGGTGGGGGTCTAAGATTTTACAGAACCGTTCTGGGGGTGGTGTAAGTGCCCTGTGGCTGCCTTAGCAGCAGGCTGAGACGCAGGCACGTGTTCTCTTGCAGTGTTGGAGGCCGGTCCAGAGTCTAGCTGCAGGCAGGCCCTCTCCTTCTGGAGGCTCCAGGGCAAGCCTGTCCCTTACTCTCTCTTGGCTTCTGCTAGGTGTCCACCCGGGTCTCCTGTCCTCTTCTGTTAGGCTCCACCCTAATCCAGCATAGATTACTGAGGAGAAGTAAATCACTTAACTTGATTGCATCTGCAAAGACTCCATTTTCAAATAAGGGCCCATTCAGAAGCGCTCAAACATCATCTATCTTTATCTATCTATCTATCTATCTATCTATCTATTTATTTTTTGACACTGGGGACCGAACCCAGGAATACTTAACCACTGAGTCACTCCCCAGCCCTTTTTACTTTTTTATTTTGAGACAGGATCTCACTCGGTTGCTCAGCGCCTTGCTAAGTTGCTGAGGCTGGCTTTGAACTTGTGATCCTCCTGTCTTAGCCTCCCAAGTCGCTGGGACTACAGGCATGCACCACTGCACCTGGCGTGGAATGTGACCTTTTGGGAGGCCATGATTTTACCCTGGACAGGTGGTCTTCTTGCTCTAAACCAGCCCCCTGGGCCTCAGGTGTGAGGGATTGCAGTCCCTGGGGATGAGACTCAAATTTCCGAACTTCCAATTATCCTGGAGACAAGTCCACTGGGAGGTGGGGTCATCCCGAGGGCCTCGAGCCAGGCTGGCACCAGGCTGCCGACAGCTTCCTGTTTTCTCTTTCTTTTCTTTTTTCTGTTGCTGGAGACCAAACCCAGGGCCTTGTGTGTGCTAAGCACATGCTCTACCCCGAGCTGTACCCCAGCCCCCCGTTTCCTCCTTGAATCTCCATTTGGTTTAGCCTCCAGTCCCCAGAGTAACCTTGATGTCACTTTATTAAATTGAAAGTGTTTCATTTCACCATTTCAATATCCTGACACAGAAGTTGGACTTTAAATGAGAGTCCACCCTTTACTTGTGGGCGAGATCTATAAATGGAGTAGCCACAGGAACAGAGCACACCCATCCTGTAGACTAAAGAGTGATGCCCACCAGGCCCAGCCACAGGCACACAGCTGGAGTCCCGGCACCTCCGGAGGCTGAGGCAGGAGGATGGCAAGTTCAAAGTCGCCTCAGCATCATTTTGGTGAGGCTCTGGCTCAAAATAAATAGTAAAAAGGGCTGGGGATGTGACTCAGAGGTAAAGTACCCTGGGCTAAAACAAGTGAGAGCCCCTGGAAACCAGTTATTAACAGACTTCTCTGAGGCCATATGCAAATCAGGCTGCTATTGATGGCATCACCATGGAAATGAGAGGGGCAGTTTTGCTTTTCACTTTCTTTCTTTTAAGTCAAGATCATTTCCCTTCACAAAGCCACACTTCGCCCTGGACCCCCATTTCCCCACCTGAGGCAGCCTCGGGCCCAGGGCCATCTGTGGACCGAGAAGGTCTGTTGGCCCCAGAGTTTGCAATGACAGAGGTATCAGTAGAGATCTGTAAATCAGTGCCCCAGAGAGTGACTTCCACTCCAGCCATAGATCTACATTCTGTAAATAAGATTTTGCATGAAAGGCTGTTTGGAAGAAAAGAGCAAAGCACCCCCACCCCTTCAAAATAGGGGATTCTCAGCTGGGCATGTGGCGCACACCTGTGATCCCAGCCACTTGGGAGGCTGAGGTAGGAGGATAGCAAGTTCAAGGCCAGCCTCAGCAATTTAGCAAGGCCCTAGACAACTCAGTGAGACCCTGTCTCAAAATATATAAAGGGCTGGGGGCGTGGCTCAGTGGTTAAGCACCCCTGGGTTCAATCCCCGGTACCTACCTATGCCACCTAAAAGAAAAAATCTGAAGCTTTAAAAGAGGCACAGATGAGGTCATCTTTGCTGGAGTCTGCACGGAGCTCACCGGGAGGCGGCTGTGGGCTCTCCGCTTCAGTCTCAACCTGTTGACCTCGTGCTGCTCTGTCCCAGCCGCCCTGGGGACGGGACCCAGGGCCTCCTATCTCCTGCTGAGCTACACCGCAGCCTGCATTGCTTTTTAGACAGCAACGTCCTTCTACACGGACCACCACGTTCTGTTGACCCACTCAACTGCTGACACACATGTGGGCTGCCGCCTGCTTCAGGCGAGTGTGGACTGGCGGCTGCTAGGGCGTCTCAGAGCTGCCGGAGCGTGCGGAAGTGGAGGCGCTGAGCCGGGGGTGACCCCTCGGCTTTGGGAAGGAGGGCCAGGCCAGGACTTTCTTACGGTGCTGATTAATCTGCTTTCTTTCTCTCCTCAGCCCGTCACCTCCCAGGTATCAGCCCGAGATCTCCACTGCCCCAAGTCCTGCAGGTTTTTTCCCAAAGGCCCAGGGTTCTCATCATGTGCCACCCCCAAGCACCCCAGCCTGTCACCTACTTCCTCTTGGCCAGCGGGTCATCCAGGTGGACCAGAAGGTGGTGGAGACCCAAAAGCCAGGGGCCCAGCGCCCCGCGGCAGATGTACTCAGAGCTGAGGGCACGTGAGATTGGAGCGTGGGGCTGGGGGGCAGGTGGGGTGCAGATGAAAGGAGATCTGCTGGGTGGGCAGAGAGGACCAGGGCAGGACAGTGGGGGACAGGAGACAGGCTGCCTCCCCGAGGCCATCCTTAGTCCCACGGGACCTGGCCACAGGGCAGACCCGCCCCTGGCTGGGGGCCTCCAGGGCAGGTGTGGGAGAGCTGGGGGGTGCAGGTGACCAGGCCTGACCTCCGGCTGACGGGCACTTTTCTCAAGTTCCAGCGGTAGATCTTCACAGCCACCAGCGCTGCAGCCAGGTGCCCAGCTGCAGAGGTGGACAAGACACTCTCGGAGGCTGAAGAAGTTGCCCTGGGCCATTTCAGACGTCTCTTTGACAGGCTGCAAACCCTGCCTTCCTCCAGCTAGATCCTCACTCAGGCGTCCTTGGGAGCCAGGGCAGTGGGAGCCAGGACCTGTTGCCTACCTCGCTGGGGGTGGGACCAGGACCCCCATCCACTCTCTGACCCACACCTGAAGAAGACCAGCCACATCTGTAATCCTCAGCTCAGGAGGCTGAGGCAGGAGGATTGCAAGTTCAAGGCCAGCCTCAGTATCTTAGCAAGACCCCGTCTCAAAATAAAAAGTAAAAAGAAAAAGAAAAAAAAAACCGTTGGGGATGTGGCTGGGGGGCTTGGTGCCCCGGGGGGGGGGGGGAGGAGAAGAAGGAGGAGGAGGAGGAGGAGGAGACCAACGAGAAGAGGCAGCCTAGAGGCCGGGGCACCCTGGGCCTGGAGCCCAACAGGTGGAGGTTTGGTTCCCATGCCACCGGCTGTGGAGTCCAGGAGGAGACACTCAGCCTCTGGGCCTCACTTGCTTCATCTGAAAAGAGAATGGAACCATCCCAGGGGTCCTAAGGAAGGATCAGGTGAGAACTTTTGTAGGATAAACCAGCCCTGGGATCAGGACTAATCCCTAAGGATGTTCAGAGCATTGGGCAGAAGGTTCTAGAGTCCAGAGTCTTCTAAGATAGTTCTTGTCCCAAAGAAGCTCTCTTCCAGGCAGGGCTGTGGAGAGGACAAAATCAGGACCATTTGGTGTGACAGACCATCTTTTTTGTTTTTTTGGGGGTACTGGGGATGGAACCCAGGGATGCTCTACCACTGAATGACATCCCCAGCCCTTTTTATTTTTAAAAATATTTTTTAGCTGTCGATGGACCTTTATTTTATTTATTTATATGTGGTGCTGAGACTCAAACCCAGTGCCTCACACATGGGAGGCAAGCGCTCTGCCACTGAGCCCCAGCCCCAGCCCTTATTTTTTATTTTGAGACAGGGTCTTGCTAAGTTGCTGAGGCTGGCCTCGAACTTGCAATCCTCCTGCCACAGCCTCCTAAATTGCAGGGATTACTGGTGTGTGCCACTGAACCCAGCTGAAATTCAAATTTAACTGAGTACTTTGTATTTTCATTTGTTAAGTCTGGCAACTGAAATACATACTACACAAGAATAAAACTAGAAGTGAAATTTTACAGTACACGTTGCAAGTAGACTGGAAGCCCAGACTGAGTAATGGAGTGGGTACTCTGGCAGGCTCCCTGGAGGAGGCAGCAGTCATAGCTAAGCCTCCTGGCTGGTTAGGCATTTTGTAAGGAGGAGACTCACCGGGGAGGGGGTTTAAAACCTCCCAGTCATGACTATACGACCCTCTCCCACCCCGCCAGAGCCAGTGTCCCAGCTGCAGGCTGACTTCACCTTGCAGGACAGAGGGTCAGGCCCTAGGGTGGCGATGTCCCACCCATCACCTGCAGCCTGGTTGGACAGGGCGGGCACCTCCCCAGGCGGCAGATGCTGCTCCACAGGCGGCCTGCCAACTTCTCCTTCCTGGCATCCCGGATGTTGGGCTGGTTCTAGTGCCAGGCTGTAGGCAGTGCAGTGCTCAGAGCAGCACCTTTGACTGGTGCCCCCAGGTGAGGGGAGGTGGCACTTCTGGGTGGGGCCGGGATCCTGCTAGAGTGTCCAGAAGGAGGGGGTGGGAAGCAGAGCAGGAAGGGCCCAGGAGGCAGCCGTGTAAAGGGGGCCCACACCCTCTGCCCCTGCTGCCACAGGTGAGCTGCCCCTGGGCCCCACCCTCGTGTCGGCCACAGCCCCATCTCCATTGCAGCTGTTGCCTCTGGGTGCTGGCTGGATAAGGTGTTCAATGCAGGGAGAGGAGAGCTGGCGGCCACCCTGTGGACAGCTGGGCCCTGCATCGGGGCAGTGGGCAGTGGGCTTGTAGGGCAGAGCTGCCGCCAAGGCCAGAAAGGCTGTGCCAACAGGCATGACTCCAAGGCAGGCGTGAAGGGCCTGCTGTGGGCGGAGGGTCTGCCGAGCCTCGAGCGTCCCTGACGCCTGACACTGACCGGCACACCCAGCCACCCTGCAAGGGAGGCAGCTGACCTCTGGCTGGGGCACTTTCTTCTGTTCCTCGTGACTCAGATGATGCCTCCCAGGGACCAGGGTGAGCCAGGAGTTTCTGTCCCCCGTGGGAATCACATGGGTTAGTCTCTCTCTCGCAGGTGGTGAAGGAACAGGACTGCGCCTCCTGGGGTCCCCTCTCCAGGACCATCCCTTCATTGACAGTGAAGTGGCACGGGCCTTGTGTGCATGCCCACGGCAAGCCTTCAGTGGTGGCTGCTCCTCCTCCTTGAGCTGGGAGGCGGCCTCTCCTCGGGGCCTCTTCCTGGCAAGGCTGTCCTGTTCAGAGGCCAGATCATGGGGTATAGATGGGCTCCACTGACCACCCTCTTGGCATTCAGCCCACTTGGTTAGGTGGGTGAGTAAGCTTCCTGCCTCTCCTCATGCCCAGGGCTCTGAAGCAAGCACTGGGCACCATGAAACTCCCAGAGGCCTCCTGAGGGGTGACTGACAGGTGAGCTCTCCTGACCTGAACCCTCAGCTCCTTTGTCATGAAGGAGGTAACAGAGACACAGGAGGAGAGTCCCCTGCCCTGCCGCCTGCAGGGGAGCCCACCACTGGAATGAAGAAGCCCTGGGGGGGGGGGGGGTGCAGGGACAAAGGACAGACAGCGAGAACACGGACCAGACCAGGCTTCGGAATGGTACTGATTTGTGGGAACAGAGGCAGCTTCTCCTGCCTCCTCCGCATCACAAAGCAAAAGAAAAAAGGAAGGAAGGAAGGAAGGGAACCCAGGGAAGACGGAACCCAGGGAAGATGGGGTTCATTTGTTTGCTTGTTTGTTTCTGTGGTTCTGGGGATTGAACCCAGGGGCACTCTATACTGAGCTACATCCCCAGGCATTTTCTCTTATAAAAAATACTTAAATTTTTTTTTTTCATTTTCTATTTGCCGATGGACAGCTTGCCTTTATTTTACTTATCTTTATGTGGTGCTGAGGGTTGAATCCAGCGCCTCACAGGTGCTGGGCAAGCGCTCTGCCACTGAGCTGCGGCCCCTGCCCATTTTTATTTTGAGACAGGGCCTTGCTAAATTGCCCAGACTGTCCTTGAACTTGAAATATTCCTGCCTCAATCTCCCGAGTGGCTGATGTTACAGGCACGTGCCACCATGCCTAGGGGAAACTATTTACTATCTAAGCAAATGCTTTGCCACGGAGGTACATCCCAGCCTGCTTTTAACTATTCACACGGATCCCACAACAGCATGTTAAACATGAACAATAAGATTTATTAAAAAACAAAAACAGGTGGGCATGATGGTGCATCCTGTCATCCCAGTCCCTCCTGAGGCTCAGGCCCCAGTCTGGGTGACAGAACCTCAGCAACTTAGCATAAGACCCTCTCTCAAAATGAAAAATAAAAAGTGCTGGTATGTAGCTCAGTTGTAAAGTGCCCCTGGGTACAATTCTCAGTTCAAAAAAAGAAAAAAGAAAAAAAAAAAGAAGAAAGAAAATGAAAGGCTCTTAGGGTGTCGGGGCCTTCAGCATTTTAGGGGTCCATGGGAAGGACATCTGTGTGGACCCCTGTGCTCACCTCCCAGCAGGTGGTCACCATCCATCCAAGTGGTCACCCAAATGTGGGGAGGAGGCGGAGGACCACTGGCGACAGGCCAGTTCCTCCACACCCCTGCCCCCCTCTGCCCTGTGGCAGTCCCCTGGCTCACCTCTCTCTGGCCTGCTCACTAGGTACAAGGGCCCTCACCATCCTCACCTGCCACTAGCAAAGGGTGTAATTCTCTCTGGGAGGCAGCACGTGGCCCCCGGAGACGCCCCTCGGTTCCCACGGTCCCCACCCCGGAGCTCTCCGGCTCCCCGTCTCAGAGGCTCTGAACATTTTTTTGGTGTGGGTCGGAGGGCGCCGGGAAGAGGCCAGAACTGAGTTGACCTCGGCCCCTGCCTGCCTCCCTGGGAGCCTGGGCTGTCTGCACACCTCCTAGGGACCTGGAAGCGCGCGGCCACTCGGCCCAGCCCGGGAAGGGTGAGGAAGAGGGGGTCTCGACCCGAGGAGGAGGAGCGACGGGGAGGGGTCCCGGGCTGTGGCTGCTTTTTGCTTTTTCTCGGTCGCGCGGCTGGGCACCGACCCCACCCCGCACGCGGCGGCGCGCGCTGTCCCCGCGCTGCGGCCGGGCCGGGTGCGGCGCGGGGGGGGGGGCGCGCGGGGCGGGGCCAGCGGCGTCCGGCGGGCGTCCTGGAGGAGGGCCCGGGAGGCCGGGGGCGGGCCCTCTTCCTCGGCACTGCGTCGCCTCCGACCCCCGGGGACGCACGGTCGCGCTGCACTCCTCGGCCGACCCGCGCGCCGCCACCTGCCGCCGCCGCTCGCCGGGGCGGCACTTTGCCCTCGGTCCCCGGCGGCGCGGCCACGCCCCTCGGCCGGGCGGGGCGGGACCCGGCTGGTTCCTGGCGTTCCGCGGCGCGGCGGCGGCGGCGACATGGAGAGCGGGGCCTACGGCGCGGCCAAGGCGGGCGGCTCCTTCGACCTGCGGCGCTTCCTGGCGCAGCCGCAGGTGGTGGTGCGCGCCCTGAGCATGGTGAGCGGGAGCGGGCGGGCGTCCCGCGACCCCCGCCCGGGAGCGCGACAGGTGGCGGCGCCCGGCGTCCCGGGCCTGCGGCGCGCGCGGGGCTGGCGTCCAGGGGCCAGCCGTGCCCTCCAGGTCCCCGCCCGCCGTCCCCTGGGGTCCCGGGCCCGCCGTCCCCGCACCCCTTGCCCCCGTTGCCGCGGCGCGGTGCCGGGGAGGCGCCGCGGGGAGCAGGCCTGTCGCCCTGCTGGCAGTGGGAGGATCTTGGGGCAGCTCCAGAACAGGTGGCCGCGCGCGCGACTCCCAGCTTGGGAGTTCACGGGAGGGGACTTTCTGGAGCCACATGGGGCCAGGGAGGGGGCTGCCTGGTGCCCCGAAACAGTTTCCTCCCCACCCAGGAGCCGGCCCGAGTCCGCTGCCCTCCCCAAGACCCGGGGACTCAAATGTGCGCCCTCCCCGTGGGCCGGGCAGGCCCTGTAGTTAAGGGGGGGGGTCCTCGCCTATGGAACCCGAAGGTGGGGGGAGCCCCGCCTGACTGTGAGGTCTGAGTGGTGCTGCGCTGGGAAGTGCCCAAGGAGCAGATGCTCTGCGGGTCGGGATGGCAGTGCCAGGAGGCCTGTGGGCACTCTGCTCCCAGCACCCGGAGATCCG